ACCACTTTGCCATTAAAAACCAAAACTGAACTATTTCAATAGCTATGTAATGGGGAAGAGAGAGAGAAAAAAGTCACGGTATCCAGTCGGAATCGGGCCGAGAATTCTCATAGGCTGTTAGACAAGGGCCGGACCCATGGAGGCCTCTATTCGTTCCCTCGTTTCAATTAAAAGTTCCACCCAACTCGGTGGGCCCCCAAACTGCCCAGGCCCATATGCACCTGCATACCCTGCATACCCAGACCTGCATTGATGAACCTGTGGTGGTTTCTGCAGTGGGGAAGAAACGCAAGCAATTAATAAGATTAGTATTGACCAAGTTCAGAGGCTGTCATATCTGTATCAACTTACTTTGTTGTGTATTTTCACCAGTTTAAATATGAAAAATTACTTTTATATTGATTCAATGGATTTATTGCGTTTTGGGGAAAAAAAGAAAATTTCAGTTTTTATAATAAATCTTTTAAAATCAAAATCTGGATTTTAATTTTTTATGTAATTATAACCTAAAGATGCTATGTGAAAGTTTGAAACAGAAAATAGTGGTTTTCATTTTGCCACTTTCTTGGTAAAGAAAACAGATGTTTACTCAAATTAATCAAAATGGATTTATAGCGTTTTGGGACCAAACTCTTCAAATATATATTTGTTTTCTGAGTTATGTCTGTGAAATAATCAGTACTTATCGACACAAATTTTGTCTCTACACTTCCCTGCCGGTTTTCACTAACCTTTTCTCTTTCTATAGGCGTTTTTCCGCTCCAATCTGTCTCTACTGTTAGAGCGTGTTGGCTCGGGCAAAGAATCGCTAAGCTTCATGAGGAGGCGTATGCGCAGATTGGCTGTGCAGTGGGCTGCAGCTGCACGCAGACTTGACGAGCGCCTGCGCGGTCACTACAGAGAGCAGAAGAGGGTGAGCTGTCACACACTGTCTAAAGAAGGTGAAATAAAGGCGCTATAGGACATAATGAGGGTTCCTTAAAACAATGACTTCATTAGCACTATTCGGATGGGATTCGTTTTCGAAGTGACATTTGAGTTAGTTGTTAATAGAGGAAGCCTGTCCTATCGTGTATTGATTTGGATGCGACTGGGATTTCAAACCAGAAGTTTAGCTGTAGATATGGTATTTGATGAAGGTCAAAATAAATGAGAAGCACAATAATATAGCGCAATCACAGATGTTGGTATCTGGACGGGATTAGATTTCTCAGAGGACCCAAATGAGTATGGATTTACTTCATAATTTGTTGTGTAAGAAAAACACAGCCGTATTTGATTTGGATGGTATTAAAATCAAAAATAAGTCTGCAAACACAAATGTATCTAACCTCCTCAGGAAAAAAACTAGTTTGAATAAGAACATTATATATTAGCAGTAATGTTTGTACTATTTCCTTTTTCAAAATCAGTTACAAATAACCCTATACAGACTGATTGTTTTCATTTCCTGTCCTAGAGCCAAGCCTGAATGGAAAACTGTAGATTAAATTAAATCTGTCTCACAGTGAGATACAGACCAGATACACACTCTCAGTTCTGTCACATAGAGAACTGGTTTCCTGTGAAGAGGTTGACTGTGACCATGAAAAAGCTGTTTACTGTAGGTGAAGTCTGCAGCTTATGAGTTTGACTGGTAAGTGTAAGATAATTGCAGGTGCTTGTGAATATGTTTGCGGTGGCTGAATGCACACATTTCCCATGTGGTAGTTTTTAATTATGGACTGTTTCTCTGTCAATTTGTCTTTGCTCATGCTTTCTCAACATTCCTCTTGGTTGGTGCACTTCTGATGTCCCTATTGAGTCATTTAACATTCTGTTAAAGCCTTTTAACAGTGTAGGTTGAAAGCTATTTATGGATATGGATTACCAGATGTCTGTGTTTACCATGTGTAGGATGAGAATCTTAAAGAAACTAATTATTTTGGCTTAGAATCAATTCCAATTAATGATCTTGGTTAATGATTCTATAAACTATTATACTGCATTTCATACACTACCATATTTAGTACTAAAATAAAATAAATATTTTAAAATAAAATATTAGTACTAAAACAGCATTAGTAGGTTTAATAAAAATGTCCAAGTCTTAACCTACCGTTTATCACAACAAAACTTTGATGTTAAAATGTAAATGTTAGTAAACGTTCAGATTAATTAAATGCTGTGGAGAAGTATTGTTCATTGTTAGTTCATGTAACTAATGTACTTGACTAATTTAAACAATTGACATTTTACCATTATCCTCATCCTTATCATCCTACAACTTCCCAAAAAGTAAAGATTTTATATTAAAATTCTGCATTTGTATTGATGAAGTTGCAGTAAAAAAAAAAGCACATTTAAAATAGATTAACTTTCACAGCAATACTGAATAACACACTAGAATTAAAATTATAAGCAAATTATAATCAAGTACTTTACATGTGCTTTAGTATGTTGGTCAACCTATTCAAATAAGTGTATTTCTTTAAAACACAGACTAGAATTAAAATCACAAGCAATCCAAATAGTATTCAACAAATAAAATGAATGGCAAAAATTGATACATGATATTTATTAATAAAGGTATTTTAGACCGACAGGGAAAATAAAGTGGCTGAAGTCACTGAGCAGCACATCAAAAACGTACTCGGTTACTAACGTAACCTCGGTTGCCTGAGATACGGGAACGAGTACTGAATCTTGCTTAAGACGCTACCCCATATCTCAGGGAACCGAGGTTACGTTTGTAACCGAGTACGTTCCATATCGATACTTCACTCGTACTGCGTCTTGCTTAAGACGCTACGGGGAACCAGTACAATCCCTCCGTTCTATGTTAGAGGAATGACCAATGCTTGAACTTGCCTTGAGCACAAAGGGCCCAGAGGTACCAAGTAATTGTAGGGAAGCCCCACAGGAAGCGATAGGGCCAAACTCACAGAGGTCGGCCCGGCGCTAAGTAATCGTTCCAAGAAAAATCATACAGCCTCAGAACCCAGTGGGGGCCAAGAGTGTACAGTCCATTAAGCAGAAAGAACCCGAGCTTGTAAAGCCGGGACGTCCAGATTATAAAACATGATAAATGTGGACGGCGAGGCCCAGCCTGATCCGACAGCCTGAACAGGGTGAAATGCTCAATGTATATTCTCAATGCCCTGATGGGGCAGAGTAGATTTAGCTCTTGGTCCTGCTCTGAAGGAGGAAGCGCCGAAAGAGCTATCACCTGAGCTCTGAACGGAGTCGAGAGCACTTTAGGTACATAACCATGCCTCGGATTCAGGAAGACCTTGGAGTCGTTGGGCCAGAATTCGAGGCAGGTAGGGCTCACCGAGAGCGCCTGCAGATCACCCATATGCTTTACCGATGCTAACGCCAGTAGCAGAGTGTTTTTTTAGCGTCAGGGGACGAAGGTCAACGGATTGTAGCGGCTCGAAAGGAGGGCTCTTAAGAGCAACACCTCAACACTGTGGGCAGGTCCCATGTAGGGACGGTGACAGGGCGAAGCGGGTTGAGCACTGCTCTGAAGGAGGAAGCGCCGAAAGAGCTATCACCTGAGCTCTGAACGGAGTCGAGAGCACTTTAGGTACATAACCATGCCTCGGATTCAGGAAGACCTTGGAGTCGTTGGGCCAGAATTCGAGGCAGGTAGGGCTCACCGAGAGCGCCTGCAGATCACCCATACGCTTAACCGATGCTAACACCAGTAGCAGAGCGGTTTTTAGCGTCAGGGGATCCAACAGCTCCTGCAGGAAGGACAATATCAGAGATATGTCGCAGGAAATTGGGTCTGCGCCGCGGCCCATACACCAGACGGAGAAGACAGACCATTTAAGAGCATAGAGCCGCCTTGAAGAGGGTGCTCTAGCCTGAGATATTGTGTTTAGCACGCTCTCGGGTAGGTCCGTAGGCTCCCATCGAGATGCCAGAGGTGCAGGGTCCACAGTTCGAGTTGGGGGTGCCATATCATTCTGTTCGCCTGAGAGAGGAGGTCTCGTCTCAGGGGAATGGGCCACGGGGCTGCTATAAGCAGCTGAGACAGCTCTGCGAACCAGTGTTTGGTCCTCCAGAGTGGGGCCACCAGCAGAACATTGTGTTTCCGCTCCTTGATTCGCCTGATTTCCTGTGGGATCAGGGCGATCGGGGGAAAAGCGTAAAGGAGGAGGTTGGGCCAGTCGTGGGCCAACGCATCCTTG